GAGAGAAACTCAATGGTATAGCTGAAGTTTATGAGGATCATTTAATTCAAGATATTGGAGGTTTTATATGCATTTTAGAACTTAAAAGCCACTGAAAATCTTGTATAAGTGGCCAAAATCTTTCATATCCTCGTACATAAAAACAAAAGAAAAAGGAAACGGAGGTTTGAGATCATAGAAAGGAAGAAACGTTGAGAACCAGAGAAGGGAAGAGGATGAAGACAAGCTTGTAAGAGGTTAGTTATTTTGTTTTGATTAGAAACATATATAGAAAATACCTTTTCTAGCCACCGGCATCACCTTCGACAATGTCCAGTAATCTCCGGTCATTTCTTAGACCGGATCTTCACCAATGGTACTCACCCTAGCCACGTTGATGGGTTATGGAGCATCAAGGAAACAGAGAGATAGAAGAAGAAAAAGGAAATTGATGTTAGACTCCTAAAAATATGCAAAATTAGTTTTGGGTCTAAAAACCTATAAAGAGATATTTCAAAATGATACTTATTCAATAAAAAGTTTTCCTTTGAGGCCTTAGTTAAATAAAGTTTAAATTAGATCTTCTATAATGAATAATAAAAATAAGTTTCAGAAAAAACCCTAGATACCAGAAACCTTAGTATTATGCCCAAAATAGTTTGCGTATGAAATCTTTTGCATTAGATATTTATGCATATTGCATGCTTATAGGTTTGATCGAGTAGTAGGATATTGGAGTACGGCTCTCCAAAGTATTGTCGGATTTCTTAAGGTGAGTACATTTCTTATCATTGGTTATTTTTTTAATATTTTGGTATAAAAATAGTTTACCATGTATAGTTGTCTTATTTTAGCAAAGATTAACTGTGGGATCATACATGTTATTTCAGTTTCACTCATAGAAAAATTGATAAAGAATTCGATATTGAAAATATGCTTTAAAGTTACTGTTCACATGACATTTGTTGAAAATTTGTATTTGACAAAAATAATTAGATTTCTCTAGAGTTCATGAAAAATATATGAAATAATCTACAAAAGTGTTAAAGCATATTATATTGCTTGTCGTACAAGTGAATATTGCAAGTGATGTTTGAAATGAAAAGAATGTGTTTTCAAATATAAAATAATCCTTAGAAATTTACTATGGAGTGAAGTGATTTATTTAAGCTTACTATACGGTATTGAATGTACCAACCAGTGTTAAAAGTACATTTTCGACACTTCTTGGCAGAAGTGAAGTGGTCTTCGGGCAACCTATGGTAGTGCTAGGTAGATTTTGTCCTTGAATTGACCTGTAGTGATTCGATGCGCATTCTCATGCTACTATGCTATGATTTGCATAGCCTTAGTGTGACAACTAAGGAAGTTTTGTGAAGTGTGATTTATAAAATTTAAAAGTATTTAGTGCTATTCGTATTGTTTCTTAAATTCGTGAATATTCTTTTATGATAGTGTTACATGCTATTCTTGGGAATTTCTCTTATTCGAAATATTATGTGTTTATCAATCGTTCTCTTTGACAATAGCTTATCTAAATGTAGTAATGATAATTTCTTTAACTTTCCGCAAATAATAAATTTTCTACTCACAGAGTGTAAATTCACCCTAATATTTGTAAACTCATCCTAATATTTTCAATCTTTTTCAAATGAGCATTAGTCAGCTTTATCTATGACATGGAGTTTGACATAAGAAGGATCTTCTAGATAATGCTTTGATGCTGAGTTTGTAGTTATATTAGACATGTTGATATGCTTATGTAATAAGAGTCTTCGACTTATTACAGTAAACTTTATTACAATGTAGCTATTGCTCTGACACTTCTATATGTAAATAAATTTCTTTGTTAAAAGTTTTAATTGTGATATGGAAGTGTATAGCAGGCTCAGCATGTGTTTTTCGCACGTGTTGCCGTTTTCATTCGCCTTAAAATAAGCTGTGCATTTTGGGGCACGATGGAATAAATCTCAAAATATGTAGTATGCGGGATAACAAATCTCTAGGATTATAACTTTTGAAATAGCACAAGGTTTGTGCAGATAAGAAAGGCGACTAATATATACCATAACATGACGGATGCAAACATTTACACTCAAAGTATGTGCTCAAAGAAATAAAAAATTATTCAGGATAAGATATTCTAATATAACTTGGAAACCGTGGACAAGAGAAAAAGTATAGTTAGGCAAAGTTTCTACAGTTGTTTTAAGGGAATAAAATCTGACACATCACGGATATAGAAATGGTGGGAATTAGTGAACATGGTATGAATTTCAAGTATCAAGTGGCAGCAACGCTATCTTAGCCAAATTATGTGCCATAACTCAAAATTTAAAAAATGAAGATTCAGTTTGGTGGCTGATAGCCAGGCATTCAAAGTTTCCTAATATTTAAGTTGGATGAATAATTTATATGGGAATAATTTACAAATTTAGAAATGTGATATTTTAGGAAGTTACCTTTTCCCTTCTACATCAACTCCATGAACTAAGAACTCATCAGCAAATGTAGCAAGGAATGCCAAACTTGTCTTATCCAGAATTACAGAACTGAACTTCTGCCATCTATCCGTGACAATGAAATAACTAGAGTTCTGCACAAAAGATCAGTCTTATACTTGAGATGCAGTAATCTAAGCAAAAAACAACCGAACAAAATTTCATTTCAAGTACCAGAACAAGTCGATAATCATAAAAGCAGTTTATTTAGCAAAAAATGTCGAAATTTCCCCTCTTTCCATATTCTCAGCAGTATAAATTTATTAGCATATTAAATTTCCCCTCTTTCCATATTCGCATGAGTATAAGAAATTTAAATTGCATATTATAAAAGAAAAAATGTACAAATATCAGCAGCCATAGTTATAAGCCATAGTTATAACAGACTAAGTTTCGAAAGGTTACACACGAAACAACAGGTAGTTTGAAGAAGGAAATGTTGTACTAACCGTAAATAATCAGCATGCAAATTTGCAAATATATCCGAAATTAGTAATTAAACAGAAAATCTTGGCCTGATCGAGGGCAGTCGTGTAATCACTGCCCGAGAAGATTAAGGACCCGCCTATCGCCCTGGCGCAGATGACTCCCCCCAACAAAAAAACCCCCCCAAAGCAGCCGGTCTTCGTACTCGGGCGAGAGTGTAGAGCTTCAGCTCAGATGAAGAAGATTGCCCAAAAATAAAACTACAAAAAATATAGTTGCAAAAATTTCGTAACTAGAGAGAGGAGAGAATGCAGAAGAGAGAATGAACTTCTGTGTTTGTTCTGTGTTTTTCGAACTGGGAAGAGGATGTATATATATAGGGTTGAGAGAGAGCTATTGAGATTCCCTGCATGTTCACCCACGTGCTGTTGTCGGCCACGCTCGCTAGCTTTCGGCTGCATGTTCCGCTGTCGAAAACGCTGTCTGCTTTCGGTTGCACATTCTCCCACGATCCGTTGTCAACCACGCTCATCTACTTTCGACGCATGTTCTCCGAGAGCAAAAAATAAAATAAAACAAAAGCGGCGTGGTGCAACGTGGCGAGCGGGCTGGAGCGGCGGTAACCAAAGCGCAAACAAACAAAGCCAAAAACACCTATCTAGGGGACATCAAGCATTAGTGAGAGAAGTACGTACCATTTTAAACCACCAAAATTTTTCTACCACTTCTAATGTGAGACTATGTTTAGAAAGCTAATTGCCTTTTAATCAAGTTTAGCTAACAGGAAAAAGGTGCAAATAGACCTCGAATGTTAGCTGATCATCTATGCTTTTGGTGGTTGGTCTTATGTTAGTATTAACATATGATCGGTGCCATGGAGTAAATACAAAGGAAGAATGAGAACTGCTAAATTCTCTTTTTTGAATGGGAATCGTGAACGGCACTGAAAAAGCTTTCTATCTAGGTTTTCTATTCCCCGTCTCTGTTTAACTTATGTGGTTATTTGATTCTAAAAGCTCTTCCTCTTAACCAACCAAAATGTAAAGTGAATGCTTATTTTACAGATAGTCGTGATCTCATAAGTTTCGAGTTTCAAACTGATTGGTAGAAACCAACAGTATTTGTTACTGTTTCCATGTAATTCAAATTAATTCCTCCAACAGAATACAACTTCACATCTACACTTAACATAGTCCAGACTTTACTTTATATCCTGTTAGCGACCCAATTCACATTAGACATATTCTATTGTTTATATATCAAAACAAAGAAATTAAAAAAACAAAATAGACACAAAACAAACTATGTAACATAAGTAGTGTGGTAGATATTAAACTCATTTACCTTCTTCCTGCAACTAAGATCCAAAACGAGCCTATTCTTCCCAATCAACTGAACAAGCCGTTTAAGTCGTTCAAGGTCCATATGTCCACCATCAAAAACATACTGCAGTAGCAATTAAAAGAGTTTATTTAAAACTTCTGTGAAAATATCTACTTAATAGGCTTTCCACAAAGAACATAAGAGCTCTTCAAATGAAAAGAGACATTATATAAAGAGGATGAATAAAATTTAATTTCAATCGAACAAGTCCCCTGACAAATAATATCTATAAAGTATTTTCTGGAATCTGCTGAGAAACTAGATTTAGACAACTTGATATGAATAAGATTAGCTCCTCAATATAAGAATCCAAACCTCAGCAGAATGTGCTTTTCTATGTGGCTCTTTGTGTAGTATGTGACTCAAACTGATATGGTTAGAAGATGATACCACTATCCTGAAGACTGATATAAGACACGAAGCTGAAGAGGTAGTAGCATAAAAGCAAGAAGACAAGAAACAAAGAAGAATAATTTCCAATTAATCTTGTCCAAAGAATATCCTACCGATGTTACAATCACATGACTGGCTCCTTCCTCAATATAGCTCTGAGCGTTGTCGACATTGATGCCACCACCAACTTGCATCCCCCCTAAAATTTGAAGTAGGGAAATATTAATATATAAATGAGGGTATATTCATATATAAATTGTCAGTTAACTTGAATGAGGAGTTTTTACTTTAAAAAGATGCTTCTAAATACATCGTGGCTGTTATGTCATACGAATCCTGAAAGAATCATGTTATCTAAAATTCGCCTACAGTATCCACACTAAGCAGAAATTGTATAAATTTTTTATTGGTAATTTATCTATTTATTAATTGCTCCAGAGATTAACTCCAGTAGACAATATCACTGATAATTGTTAAAACTAATAACATGACTAAGGAAACCATTTAACAAAACGAAGGTAATCCAGCTCTTATCTTTTCCTTCAGTTTTGTTCACATCTCTAGTAAATTGCATTAGATAATTAGACCCCCCCCTTCCCCCAAAAAAGCCTCTGTTAATTTCTTTTAATCTGGATACGTGACTCAGACTGTCTTGAAGTACAACTAGGGCCAGTGGAAAACCTTAAATAGTGAATGGGAGGGGTCATCGTGGCATATATAATATGCACATTAGTTTACATGAACGTTCGCCTGATCCCTACTACTCTCACACTAGTCCACCTACACATTTCTTTTTGGGATAATGTTGTTTGGGCTCCTATGTTTTTTTTTTTGGAAACCTCTCCCCATCCATCCCCTAAAATCCACCTTTTCCCTATTACTTTTGGACTATTTAGAATCAATTGTTCACCACTTTTAACAGTTTGACAGGACTTTGCAGTCAGAAATTTATGCAGTTAATTTTATCCTGACACTTGTAAGGCAGATTGGAATATTTTCCAATCCTCTGGACTATAGTCACATCCAACATAGTTTATGATACAAGTTAAATAGCCATTCCTAATAGATTTATACATTTCAATAGTAATCTATGATGCACGGATACAGATACGGGACACGGATACGGCACGGACACGGATACATCAAAATCCAAAAAAATAGGATACGGGGATATGGCAAGGAATTTTTTTTTAAAAATTATTATTATATATAGAAATTTTCATAAAATTCAACTAACAATCTAAAATATGAATCTATCACAAAATAACAAGTTTGTAAACAAAAAGTACTTCAAGATGAGGTGGAAGCTAGTCCAATGACTTCTTCATTGCCTTCATCATTAACAAACAATACGGCCTCCATGGGTTTTTTTCTTTTTTTCTTTCATTTGAGTCAGATGAGGATTGAATCGAACGGGAGATTTGAGAAATAGTGATGAGTTTTTTAATCGAATGGTTCGGGTTGGATTTTAACAACTAAACCCACAACCCGAATGAATCGGCCTTCGACGAATCCGAGCCGTGTCCGAGCTCCTTTGATCGTGTCTGAACCTAATTTGACTGTTGACTGTTGACTGTGTCGGACACGGATTGAGCGTGTCTGACACGTGTCATGCACGTGCGTGACGAATCCGTGTCCGATTCGAGTCGAACACGGATTCGTGGCCTCCGAGGGCGAATCTGTGCTTCAGAGATAGTAATCTAACAACCAGGCAGTGCAATTTTTCCTTTAATTTTTATATATAATATCATGCAAGTGTGATCTACTTTGTCAACTATCGAACGATTTTGGTAACTAATGTTTTAAACTTACCTCCATTTCTAATACACACTAATATAATGCATTTTTGACTTTGCAGAGTAGTAGTTGCTTCAAATTAAATGTTATTCTCTTTTGTAGAATGCAAGTGATACTCTGTCAAATATCAAAGGATTTTGGTAACTCGTGTTTAAGTTTACCTCTAATAAATGACAATAATATATATTTTTGACTTTGTAAACCAGTAGTTATGCTAAATCATACGCTAGTATCTTTTGTAGAATGCCAGTAAGCATTTGTTAGGCATGTGCATGGATCTAGATTAGTCTGGATAAAGCTAAATAAATAACCAGTAAATAAATAAATAAATAAATAAATAAAACAAATAAATAAAAATAAAAATCTGAGCACAAATAGACAAATCAGAAGGCACACTAACCAAACCAAAACATAAGCTACAAACTCGGTTAAGTAGAAGCTATATTGTAGATTCACTTAAGAATTTGATATGTGAGGCATTTCATGTATTTATTCATATTAAGAATCTTCATCTACTGTGTGATAACAAACACTTGAAGTGTAGTAATTGGGCTCAGTATCCCTGCACTTGCTATTCATGAATTGTCTTGATATTGTGGACTAGTAAGCGCCAGCTAAAGGATGTTTGGTTTGTCCGTAAGATCATGAGTGTAACTAATATCATTTATTAACATATATCCCTCAATTTTTTAATTATACAAGTTCTCGCTTACCCAATTTGGATCAAGTAAGGTGTTCTAATAGTCAGATATGGTTCATATTTGTGAACCTTTAGCTATTAGCTAGGGAATCATATGCTTGACATGGTGGACTGGGTTAGGCTTACCCGGGCTCCAAGAACAACCTGAAGACTGAAACTGCAGAAGGATTTGTCTGCTCAATACAGAAATGAGTCAGCTAATTATGGACACGTCTATGTAAGCATCTGATTCAATATAAACTTAACTTTCCTTTTTATTTATTTATTTTTGGTTATTTAGTTGATCACTTGAAGTGAACCGGCACTAACTTGTATCATTGTGTACACACTATGGATGCCGAACAAATACGAAGATGCTTGGTATTCTTTACTTAGCCAAGTAAAAAGGTTAGCATCTGCATAAATATGTGCATGAGTATGGGTGTCTTACCCAGATAAGGAAGTCACAGGCTTAAAGTATATCAAATACCTAAGCACTATCATAAAACAAACTTCACTCCAACTTAATAAATTAGGTTACAAGAATCAAATAAAGGATTTGAAAAAACACTGGACAATAGGAAGAATTTTTTTTTGACAGTTGAGCAAATTTACCTGGATGGGCATGCAAGGCTTCAATAGCTGCACATTTGCTTGCAGCATCAGCACCAAGCATTATCACATGACCCCCAGCAAGTTCATCCTTCTTGTACAAAGTTGCATATTCAGCTGGAGATTTATCTGATTCAAAATTGGTTATTAGAGTGCCTTTACCCGAATCTTGAAGTGTGGATCCAACTATTTGCTTGACTTTTCCCTAAAGTCCAAGCTTAACTTTATAAGAAACAAACATTTCTGAAAATCAAATAAGCATCAGATCACATAGCTACCTCATGTATATCAATACAAGGCCGAAATCGCACCCCGCATTCGACCACAAGATGAACTGATCCTGCAATCAAAAACCCAAAGCTCAAATTTTTTGTAAATGCCTATTATATCCCCACACACAAAAATAAAAAAAAAGTTTTCTCGAGTCGACTTACGGGAAGAAGAGCAGGAGCTCGAAGGGCACACTGGAAGTGCCCATTGATTCTTCTTGTGCTTTATCTGATGAAAGGAAGCAGGAGATATTTTGGAGGCGGATCTGAGTGTTAAAGTCATCATCTCCGGCTGTTAAAGTCAACCTTACGGCGCCCACCGGCTACAGCTACAGTGCCCATCGCCTATTGCTACAGTAGCTACCTACCATTCAGCTTATATTGTGTAATCTTGTGCATATATAGCTTGTAATATACCTAAATGAGTGGGTTTGGTTATTAAATGGGCGGGCCATAAATGGGTGGGCATGTTTTGCACATTTACCCATTTATGGCCCATTTAAAATTTTCTAAATGGGCGGGTTTTTACCCGCACATTTAATAAACGGGCCACCCATTTGCCCATTTAACTATAGTAGCTATGTATATAATACTTTTGAGGTGTTTTTTGTAAATTTTTAGAGGGCTTTTGCAAACTATTAGGGGCTTTTCGTAAAATTTTGGGGCCTTTTGCAAACTTTTTGGGGGGTTTTTACAACCTTTGGAGGATTTTTTGTGCAAAACTTCTAGGAGTTTTTTTCCCAAATAGAATCCTTCGAGAATTAGAAACTAAAAATAGAATTCTTATTCGACAAATGAGACAGAAGAATTCTATTGGCAAATATACAGATGATGTAATACATAATATATTAGGCTCTGTGTAACATATATATGCAGTAAGGAACAAAAATGTAGAGTTTAATACAAACTTCAAGAACTAAAACCAGCAATCGCTACTCATGACCTAGTGCTAGGTTTGTGATAAAACACTAATAAATACAACAATATATCACATGAGAACATGATACAAATCACATTGACACAAACTTTGCATTACCGTTGCTTGGTTTAAGTTCATAAACAGCTTCAACTAACTTTGCTTCCCAATACAAAAAATGTTATCATAGTACTAATAGATTGTGATACATTTGCAAGTCATATGTCTAAAAAAAAAGTTAAAACAAGTAGTATAATCAGTATTAATAAATTGCCTAGTCTCATTTCAGTTTATCTAGCCATGCACCAGGACTCAACCATCTAACTGTATAGTGTATTAATTTGTGAGCAAGTCTAGAATCAGCCACATCTAATGTTCCGCTAAGGATTACCAGTTTTTCTTTTATAGCATTTCCAAGTCTGGAATCAGCCTCGGCTAATGTTTCGCCTTCACAATGAGTTCGCAAGAACTTGCAAAGACCCTTGCACATTGCTGCTCTAAGCGCTATAAAAACCGAAACAAATATGATGTCCAATCTTTCATTTGTACTGTAATTTGATAAGGGTGGAGTTCAGACTAATGATGAGCTCTGATCACAGAACTAGAAAGGCCTTAGATTTCCATCTTAAACTATTCAAATCTAATTTCAACAAAAGAGTATATTAGCTCACATGTTAATACAAATGAAATTGAAGTATTAATCCTGAAAATTTTAACTTTCGCATTTATATACAGCCAAACTGCTGTAGTTAACCACAAAGTCAAGCTTTCTCCACAGCTGTATCATCACAAGCAAGACAATTCATAAAAATCAAACTGCAGTCCCATCACAAGACTAATCGACATGCTCACAATTTATTTAAGAACATTCATCATTAAGTTTTTGATACCTGACGATTAATTTTTGCACAGGTTTAAATTATCCATGTCAATGCCTCTACTGAATCATAGGGCAAATGAAGCGATCAGATTTCAAGAAATCAAATAAAACAACCACCATACCAAACTAATCAAAAAATAGTGATAATAAATGAATAGTGATTTAAGTAACTCTAAGGAAAACCCTCGCTGGCAACTGACTTCATGTTTCAAACTCCTTATAACTTTAAGTACTAGTTTTAGAACTTGCATAATGTTCAAGCTTATGTTCATAAGTTCAGTTAATTTGTAATTTAGTTGATTACACACTTATTCTAGAGGGACAAATAAGTTTGTCTAAATCAGGATTAATACAAAGAATGACAAAAATAAAATGTTTATCCCAAATCTTTTAGCTAGCTACATAATCCATATCCATCACGCTCAATGAGGAGTCAATCTATTTTGTTAAATTGGAAAACCTAATAAAAGTTGCTACTTGCTACTGGTCTGTTTGGTTATGTACTTAAATGAGTCTATCTACGAATATCTCTGTGGTCTCTACTTTACGTACTAAATGCAAATGATCATACACTTGGAGAAAGAGAAGTTTTCAAAGATGTGAAAATTTTAAAGAGAAGTGTGCCTCCATCAAGTTATTATTTTTTCCCCTAGCTTTCCCATCCCTATCACTGTTTTGATCAAAATTCTACCAAACTTATCCATAATTCCAGTTCTAAAAAATCAATCCTTCAGGGCTTCACATCTCTGAGTTCAATACTCCAATGTAATCAACCATCATTTGTAGTTGACGCATAATTTATTTTTCAGTTGTTTCCAATTGCTTGTTCACGAAACAATTTTATTTCACAAAACTCCAACTCCACTCCCTCAATGAGGAAAATTATGTTCTTCATCCTCCCACACAACCGATGCTATTTTGTAAATATCAAAAATAATGTACATAATTAATTTTCAGGTCTCTTCAGAAAAATTGTGCTAAAAATAAAAACTTAATAAAATTCCGCACGATTATAAGAGGACATAAATCAAATTTCATAATTCAGTTAACATCCCACTCAAATATCCAGAGTCTAAGTTAAAAAAAGTGCGCTCCTCAACTTAAAATCACAATAACAAGAAATTTAACCCAAATCAAAGATCAAAACACTGCATTGTCACGCTAAAACTAGCAACTACGCATTGTAAATTTAAAAAAAAAACTCCAAAGCATTTACAATCTGACGATTTCAACAAAGATGCAAAGAAATAACAAACGATTACAACGATTCAAGTAAAAAAATTAAATAAAATCAATTAGAATTACCACACAAATCTGGTGCTCAGGAAAACAAAGGCATTAGGGCTAGATTTTTAGGGTTTCAAAGCCTGCACAACAGGAACAGGGATTCAATCTTTAAGTAATGAGGTTGATTTAGGGTTCAGATTATGTTGAAGAGAGAAATATGAAGAAAATACCTTCTGAGTTGGAAAGAACTTCTGCTGCTCAGGGCTTCGGCCTCCTCGTGCTAGCCGATAGATCTTCAGGGGCTAGGGCTTCGACGGAGGACCGGATCTAGGGCTTCGGCGGAGGACCGGATCTAGGGTTTCGGCGGAGGAGAGTAGGGATGAGCCTGAGGAGCTTGGAAAGAAACGGGAGGATTTTGGGAATTTTGCCGGAATCGAGTGATCTGCGACCGCTTCTTCTTCTTGTTAGGGATTTTGCCGGAATCCAGAGCGATGAAATCGGAGAAAAAGGGCTGAGCCTTCGCGCTTTTGGGAATACGGGCGGACAAATGGGTGAATAGTGACCGCCCGTTTTAGTATCCATTTAGCATTTAGGCTGCGTTTGGGAACTTGGATTTGGACCCTGGATTTAAAATTCAGGGTATTTTAAATCTAAATCTCTTGTTTGGCCCTCAAATTAGGCTAAGATTTTAAATCAAATGATTTTAAAGAGTAGATTTTGAAAGCTCAAATACACGTATTTGAAATCCCACCCTCACCCTTGGTATTTACCAAATCCCGACGGGATTAAATCCCGATCCCAACTCCTCTCTCACATTTCTCAGTCACGATCCCGATCCCGACTCCTCTATCTCCCCTCTCTTCCATTCTCCTCTCTCGTCGAAACCCTAGATCTGATCTAGGGTTTAGGTCTCCCCCTTTCCCCTCTCTCTCCCTGTTCCATCGAATCCCTAGCTCCACCTCCTCCTCCCCCGACGCCACCGCGCAGGTCCGCCTCCGGGAGGCGGAGGAGAGGCTGCGCGAGGCGATCCAGGAGCTCCAGCGCCACCACTCCCGGCGAGGCTCCGGCGAACACCCCGCCTGCGACCACGCCGACGAGTCCTGCATTGCCCACGCCATTGGAAACCTATGCCAGAGCTTCCTACTATCCTATGGAGTTAGGGTTGGGGTCGGGATCCTCCTCTGAGCATTCAAGCTCGCCAAGCGACGATCGTACTGTCGATCCTTGATCTCAAAGTATGGATTTCTTTCCTCCCGTCGTTGATTTTTGTGTGGAATTTGATGCCTCTGAAGATCGATTTCTTTCTTTCTTTCTGTCATTTATTATCTTATCATTGTATTTGAAAGGCACATGCAAATGCTGCTGTTATAACTCAAGTGAAATTTAAAAATTAAGTATAGATTTGTTTATTTAAGGGGGATTTTTTGAACTTTTGATGTGATTTTTTAGTTATGGAGGAAGATTGCAACAGAGACTGCTCTAGAGGTGCAGATTCTTTTGGAAAAGTGGCAGCTTTTGCTCTTAGGGCTTATTTTTTAGTTATTATTTTTTTATATGATCTTGTGACGAAGATTGGGCTGTTAAGAGTATTCTGTAATAGAGGAGGAACATTTTTGTCAATTTATATTTTTGGATTTATTGTGTATATCACCATATATTTGGGAATTTTTTGAGCAGTATTGTTTCCGTGAATAAGTGATAAAAAAAATATAAACTATAGTATCGAAAAGGAAAGGAAATTAATGTCGAGGCTGATAAAATTTCTTGTACAGAAAGGGAAGAAAGAAAGAGTTAAATAACTCAGACTGATATTGCATAGAATTTACCGATTGGAAATAATAAATCTTAAAAAAGTAGCAGGCTCACTTTGATGACCATGGTATGGACTAACTTGGAGAAGTATGCTATGTTTGTTGTTTCCATCTCCAGTATATTCATGGGTTGGCAGCTCGAGGAGTTCACTATTTACATCGACCTGGACCTGTTCTCCAAGATCTTGGGTTCATGATCCTTCCGGTTAGTATATTATTATGTAGTTTATCTGTCACATACGGTCGCAATAAGTCTTGAAAAAGCTATCCTTGTGTTCAATTAGAACAAAAATGTCCTTTTACTAAGAATTTATGAGTTACTATCTTATTATCTTTTGTCACTCAATTACATTACTTTCTCATTATATTATTACTATAGCAGCAAAGTTTCATAAGGTTCTGCTGGTCTTGTCCTATTTTTTTTTATCTGTACCACCTTCCACATGCTAGTTTAGCTGTGCTACAATTTTGCAACCTTCTCCCCTCTTAATGGGTTGCCTTGTTACTTATTCATTGTATTTGAGTTGGCTTCTATATATCTAATGGAACTTAGTTGCATTTTAGTATTAAAAAAACTAAAAAGCCCTGTCATTTATCGTGATAAGATTATCTATAATTTCATTAGTTGAGTTTCGTATCTTGCAGATGAATGTCCTCTTTTGTTGTTTATTCGATCACTCTGTTAATATCTTCTTTTCTTTCTCCCATGTTTTCTCTGAAGGGCTGAGATTGTTTTCATTCAGTTTTCCAAATGTTTATGACATGATGTTCCGTCAATTTCTTCTGCAGTGGACATTTCACCCTTTCATTTTCCACAGTAAACGCTTCTATACAGTTCTAATATGGCGGAGGATGCTGGCTTTTTTAGTTGTAAGTTCCATAACTGATACTGGATAACCCGTGTTTGATGGTTGACAATGCTTTAGTCTGACAAAGAAGTTTTTCATGCAGGCCTCACAAATGTTACGGATTGTTACATTCTATTCTACTCAACTTCCTGGGCCTAACTATCACTGTCGTGAGGTACATCTCTATGCCAATTTTATTGATGAGCTTTCAATAGCAATTGACCAGTACTATCTATAACTTCACTTAGTAATTTATAGTTTCATTCAAATGAACCTCACTTAGTAATTTATAAGTGTAACTGAGAGCATTGAGCTTCCATGCAGGGTTCCGAACTTACCACATTGCCCCCTCCTGATAGCGTGTGGGAATTGCTTCTAATTAACTGTAAGTAATCTTCATTTGAGGTGATTCTGTTTGCAGTTCTTCTGGAATTCATTTCTTTAGAGAGTCTCATTATCATATAACTTGAATGTTATAGATGTTCATTTGGTTTATTCTTGTTTGCAGTTCCTCAAGGAGTCATTTATGGTTGTGGTGATCTGATATTTTCATCCCACATGATATTCACTCTGGTGTTTGTGCGTGTATACCATATATGGTTGTGGTGATCTGATATTTTCATCCCACATGATATTCACTCTGGTGTTTGTGCGTGTATACCATAAATATGGCTCTAAGAGGGAAAGGGCTTAGAATGCTTGGAATCTTAGTTCTAAAAATCTTCTTTGATCTGCTCTTTAGTCTTACCTGGCTGTGTGCAGGTGTATCAAGGCTCTTGCTTGGTTGATGGCCATTCTTCAAAGTCTGCTTATAATCGCTTCTCGCAAGCATTACTCAGTTGATGTTGTTGTTGCATGGTAGGATAAACTTTCAACATTCAGTTATTATTTTCTGATGATGGAATTTTTGCTTATAATCGCTTCTCGCAACATTATATTCAAAAGCATACCACAACTATATTCAAAAGCATACCAAATTCAACTGTGTTTCATTGGATATCTATGTGGTTGGTTTAATATATTAGCATTAAGGACATTTGTCTTTATAATTAATTGAGCGTTGTTTCCTCCTGAGTGTTGAACTATGTCACTTACAAGATTTGTTTATGATTTATATCTTGGTTTGTTCTGACATGTTTATACTTATTCGCTTGTGATGCAGATAATGCTGGGTTTATTGTGAACCCAAAGGGGGAAGTGAAAGGTATATTACATTCATTTCCCATGGATTATCCTTTTTTAACCATCTCAGCATCAGACTCTATTTTGTACATGCATTGTTGTTTGTAGTGAAAACTGTAATGCATAAATTTATTTTTACTTCTTCATCTAATATATATCAATCGATGTTTTCTGCTTCTTTAGGATCTGCAATTACTGGACTAATTGGAAAGGAGTGTGCTGGTTTGTGGTCTAGGATTACTAGTGCAGCCAATGCCATTGTGTAATATCCAGATTTTTCTTCAGGTGTCAGTGAGGAGGGGTAGTTTCATGTTATTTGTTTTTGAAAAGAAAAGTGAGTTTTTTAAATATGGATCCATATTTGTATTTGATGTTTTTGTTTTCCCGTGATGTACATATATTGGAATTAATATTCTGGGCAAGCTGATGGTAACATTGTTTTCCTTTTGTTATGAAATTAAATGGTGATGGTTTGAAGATAATAATGATTCATATATTGATATCATTGTTGAAAATTTATTAATAAATAAGGTATTGGAAAATTTGAAGATATTTTGTCAAACTTCTCAGAGACTTTGTGAAATTTATCCTAACTTTTACCTCAACATAAACCTTAATGTCCGCATAAAAGATTGAGGAGTTAAGAGAAAGCATAAATTTTCTTAAAACACAAATTCCGAAATCCAAGTTCATGTATAATAAAGTGTATCCAAACACTATATTTCAAATCTTTGATTTTTCAAATCCTTGCATTTTGTAAAGATACGCAAACAAAAGATTCTATCAAATCATTGATTTCAAATCCTAGATTTAAAATCGGTTGATTTTAAATCAACATTCCAAATCTAAATCTTAGTTCCCAAACACAGCCTTAGTGTATTTGAAGATGATCCCGCGCGATTAGACCTATTTAACTAAATTAGTGAATTTTGGACTAAAATGGTGGATTTTGGATGGGTCAGACGAGTAAATGAGCATAGCAAAAATTATCTTCCCTAAGGGGCTGTTTGTTTCACCAATAAAATAGGATTAGAAATCCTTTTTTTTATGGATTCCTACTTATTCCATAAAAAATTTATAGATAAGTTTGTAGTTTTATGGAATCCTATTTTTTAGCATTCTATGTTTGTTTCACCCAATGGAAAAATAGAATCTCACTTTTATAGAAACCTTCCAATTCCTAATATCTTGTTTGGTTCCGAAATGCTTTTTTTGTGATCAACACTGTAGCAATGGCTAGTTCAATATTCAAATCAAATACACCGTAGCAACGGCTATTTCCAACATTTGACTCAATATTCAAACACGAAACACTGTAGCAAGGGCTAGTTCCAAGAAATTTGAGGCTATAAATTTAACATGAGGCCTCAACTTTGCCAATACATTCTCCATTCTCACCAAAAATTATCATTGTTTGCAAGTTGCCTCCCAGACATCAATATGATATTAGAAAAATGCTCCCAAAATTATAAAGTTTATTACGACTGCAATCTCCGAACACTGATAAAAGTGTGCAAGAATGGTAAAAATAAGGGAAGGTGTTATTAGGGGTGCGCAAAATTTCCAAATAAAGAATGTAATTTTTTCGAATGGGCTGATGAAAGAGGAGAAATAAGCAACCTTGGAAGCTGTAGGCGTATAAAACTGCTTATAGGTCCCTTAACATAGCTCGGCACGGTGATTCGACAAACCAACGAACCATCGGACGATATATCCAAGCATGATTGTTAGACCACAAAACCGAAGCCAAGTGACACGCGACGAAGCGGATTAACGAGACGACGAGGTTAACGAACCGCATGCAAACAACGGAATACATCTAATCACATGCCCAATCAAGCTAACGGGTCGATGAAACAACGAGTCATCCAACCGTAAAGTCCACCACATCAAACAAGATTAGGAGCGGACTCGAACTCGAACACCAAAGCAGATTTACTGCCAAATCAGGATCCGGACTGCCAAATCAGAGTCCAGATCAACAATGAAGTTCGGATAAACCGCGAAACCGGAAAACGGGCACAAAACCAAACACCGGGAGGGCTCGACCAAAACCGAGCCACCACTAGGTGGCTCGGCCAAGGCCGNNNGGGGGGGGGGGGGAGCCACCAAGGTGGCTCGGTGGCCGAGCCACCCAGGTCTGGGCCCAGATCTGAGCCCAGATTTGGATTGAAATGCCTATAAATAGAGAAGGAGGGCTTATTTTGAAGAGGTTGTATTTTTTTGAGGCGAAATTCTGCTGGATCAAGAGCTAAACCTCGGAGTTTTGGAGCTATGGAGACTCGGATTTTTCAGATCTGGCTCTTGGCGATCATCCACGTCAAACAAGGTAGGAGTTCGAGAGAGATCAGATCTGAGATTCACACGGTTATCCTCCGATCAAAACTTGGTTTTTGATCCCGAGAAGAGTATCGATTTTGCTTGGTCGATTTCGATTACTTAGGGCTATTATTTCCTTGGTGAAATAATCCCCTCGGCTGTTATCTCCTTCGCGAAATAACACCCGTCATACCGTGTAGATCCGATCGGATCAAGATCGTGCGGTGGTCCACGGATTAACCCTGGCGCAGGCAAAGAACCCACACAAGCAAGAGACCGTAAAACAGGATCTTGCGATTTGTTCTAGAAAAGGAAAGTTGTAATCTTTTAAGATTTTTTGATTTTGTTATAACCGGATCTTATAAAAAGACCGGATCTTTTGTAACCGATAAACTGTTGCTCAAGAAAACAATGACATCAATGAAAGCAATTTTTCCCACGAACAGAAGCCAATATGTCAAAGAAAATATGTACGGAGATAAATATATTTTGTAATCGAAGAGGATGGAGAAAGAACTGAGACTTGTTCAAAATCAACTATTAGCTTGGCAAATATCAGCAGTTTTATTAACAAATTTCTGTGTTATTTTAATTATTATAAATTGTATGTCATGTACTTGTAATTGCAAAAACTATTGATGTTTTAATGAAAACTATTATTGGAGGTGAGTATGAAATGTAGTTGATATTGTATGGATCGGGAATAGATTAACTTGTCAAAATTGAATGCCCCACCTATAACTTACAGGTTTATTACAGATTACATTCTAAGGACGGATTGCCTCGCCTAGACATTGTCAATTCAATGTAAGCTGCAATCTCATTAACTTTTGCCTCATCTGAATATAATAAACACTGTAAGCTAGATTACATTCTCAGTAAACGCTAATCATCATCATTGCCTAATATCATCTGTAAGTTACCTCAAAACAAGCCAAAAACAAACTCGTGCTCAACAATTGTACTCAACAAACCCAAGTAAAGCTCCTGCAAATGCATAAAATTCCTGCAATATAGCTAAAAAACAAAAAGGTAGGGAGCTACACAAGCTTAAAATACTCGACAACAACAAAAAGGCAGGGAGCTACACAAGCTCCAATACAATTGTGTTCAACAAACCCCAAGTTCATGTTCAAAGAACAGCCGAAACCTCACAAAGCCAAAACCAAAAAACAGTGAGCTACACAAGCTCAAAACCACAAAGTTAAAAGAGTACCACTTCATTTGGAGCTTGCTTCTGTTAGACCCTATAGGGGGATGATTAGGGTCTTATGCTAATCTCTTAGGTGCACAAGCGAGTTCATCACTAGATAAATCATTACCGGGTTCGGAACCGCATACTACACTAGGACTGCTATCGTCTAGTGGCCGTGTGCATGATGAAGCTCCAATATTACTTGAGGAAGAATCCGTCGGAATCCTTTGGATCTCCTCTAAGTTACCATGATGTGCTTCTATGAATATCCACAATTTGTAAGCACTATCAAAAATGAGCAAGCTTGTTAGAAATAGAAGAATCAAGTGCATTAAGCATATATTCTAACACAATTTTATTCATGGTAAACAATCTTTTGTCATTTTTACTCCACTTGGATTTCTTCATAGTGGGTACAATATAAGCATTATCAATAACTCCTCATAAATCAATATTTTTAGATTGCATAAATAATTTAAATCTAGAAGCTCATTGTGCATAGGGAAAATTAATGAATTTAGGAGCAATATTTGATTCATAGCCTAATAAAGGTGCACAATTTATGTCCATGATAAATATATGTATGTGCAAGCAAGACAAATAAAACCTAAACAAGATTAGCACAAAAAGATAACTTGGATCTTTAACTCAAGGCGATTAGACCTTAAATCAAAGAGCACCAAGCTCTGATACTAATTGTTAGACCCTAGAGGGGGGTGATTAGGGTCTTATGCTAATCTAATCCGATTTTATGCTAATTAAAACTAATTAACAAGTTATCCTAGCAAGTATAAAATACAACAAGATATGTGAGCTAGGATAAGTGATATACACAAGGGTAAACAAAATAAACAAGATAGTGGATGATATAAATAATGAACAATGGACAATAGCGACAAGAAATATAAACATAAGAGAAGTGTGCCAAAGCAAACTCAAACACACGATATGATCACGGAGTTCAGACCTTCCGTCCCACGTCTCCGCTCCCCACTCCCTGGGAGAAATCCACTATCACAACAGGGTTTTCTACGCTCATCCGAATAATGTTTACACATCACAATGTCGGTTTTTAACATTCACCGATCAACGTTCACAATCACTCACAGTGTCGGTTTTCAACGCTCATCGATCAACGTTCACCCCTCACACTCGGTTTTCTAGCT